CCCCGTCTCACCCCTCTGCTCATGGTTCTCCAGCTCCTGTCTCTACTATGCCTAAACGCATGTCTTCAGAAGGTACAATACCACAATTTGTTCATGGGGTGTTTTCTTTTTATTTTTTTTCTTTATTTTTTTTTTAATCTCGTTCGTCTTCGTTTATAACTCCTCCGTGAGTTTTAATTGACAAGATTTGTGGTTTTTTTTTTATTTTAGTTTTTTTTTTCCTCTTCATTACTTAACCTTATAATTTGTGTTTTAACTTTAGTTGATCAGACTTGTTTCTATTAACCTTTTTTTTTTTTGTTTTGGTTTGTTTTGTTTGTGTTGATTTGAAGAGCTTTACAAAAACAAAAAAATAAAAAAAGGAAAGAAAGCTGTGAAATTTCCCGAGTTGGTACAAAATTAAACTCAGCTTTGGAAACGCTGCTCAGTGTCTTAACTTAAACTACAGCAACATGCAGGACCTGATAACTTTAGAAAGAGCATTTCTAGGACTAAAATTTAAGATATATTTAGTAATTTACATTTAGAAATTTCCATTTGGAAAGTGACATTTAGAAATTTAAAATGTAGAAATTTCCATTTGGAAAGTGACATTTAGAAATTTAAAACTTAGGAATTTTAAATTCAGGAATAAAATTTAGGACTACTTGTGTTCTTATTTTATGACTATAAATTTATGTAAAATATCGATTTTAACATGGTTGTCCCACAGAAAGTTTCAAATTTAACTAAAATAATTGACTTACCAACAATAATAATGAGCATGTAACAGTAATAATGAAGCATGTAAAACAGCCAACAGTAATAATGATAAGAAAAATGCTGCATTCAGAGATGTACAGTGTGGAATGGGATAGGATAAACTGCTCCAAAGGTGAATTTGTAGGGAATTTTCAGACCTGCTTGCGCTGATCAGAACAATCAATCAGCTCCTTAGAAGTCAGTAGTTCTCAGAGAAGGGCTGACCTGTGAGTCTGTGGTAACTCTGTGCAGAATTCTCTGAACTAAATTTCTCCTGTCGAGGTACAATAATGATCATGGTTTATAATTTTGATTGAAGTGCAGTTAAATAAACCCTGCACAGCATTGTTTAGCAAGCCTGGAAAATGGAAACTGGTTGTGGGAGAGAACAATCATCCCACTGACTAAAGCAGTAACGCTGTTCTGCAGCCTGAGAAACGCTCAGGGTGGGCCGTGACCAAAAAGTGGATGATGGTCACGTGTCTGGCCTCCTATTGTCCATTTGGTATGGCTTTTTATGTAGTCAGATACTGGGAATCCACCTGCAAACTCAATTATTTTCTTAGCCCCTGGGGTTGATTTGTCAGGCCTGCACTGAACTGCTGCTTACTGCAGGGTTTAATTCCTGCTGCCAGGAGATCACTGCTGGGAAATGTGTATTCTTTAAAATCCTCACCTGGATGTGATTTGGATTGAAGTGTACTTGAGATTCGTGGGTAAAATAGAGGCTGACATTTAAAGATTTATGTAACCAGAGAGGTGCTTGATGTGAAACCAAAAAGCCATTATCTGAACTTTTCCCTATTATTGATATACACTAAAAATGCAAACCCCCCCTCCCTGCAAAACAGATTGTGTTTTGTTCACCAAGTTTTTCCTTTTGAAGTATCAACATTTGAGTCTGATCTGGTAAAGAAAACCTTTGTTAGGATGTCAGAACTGTATTGCTGCTTAGACTTGAGCTGAACTATTGTGTGGCGGCTGCAGAAGCTGCTCAGAATTCCTGTGCTCACGTATGGCTTGGGCTCCCGGTGTTAAACATGCCTGACTTGAACCTTGGGATAACAAATCACTTGCTCAGTTGCAGTTGTGCTGACTGTGGGAATGAATTGTGAGCTGCTGCAAGGCCACTGAGCCCTGCTGCAGAGTGCCCTGCTCAAATCCCCCCCCGAGCACCGCTCAGCCAGCGGGGACTGTAAATGGTTGGGATCGCTGCCCCACCTGACAAAAAGCCTTGGAAAATTGTCACTGGGATTGGGCTTGTCCAGGGGGAGCTGGGCCACCGACCCTGATGGCTTGGCTTGCTCTAAGCACTGCTGGATACCTGGATTCAAATATCTGAAATCCAGGACTTGCACACCTGTTTGAAGGCCGATAAAGCTTCTAAAATACCCATTTAGAGCTGGCCCAGCGAGGTGCTGAGTGTTGGCAGCCTGGCTGGACCAACGGCTCGGCCTTTTTGGCCTGGGGGATCCCTGGTTCTAGTCGATATCAGTGTAAATTGCTTGACTTTATTACTGAATTACTGAGAGTTACGAGATGAAATCCAAGTTTGAAAACCACATAGCACGTTTTTTGAGAGTTAATGAGCTGAAACCCAGTTTTAAAAGCAGATAGTATTGTTTGGATGCTCTCAGTGCCGGGCTTCACTTACTGTGTGGGTTGTTTGTTTTTCCCCAGGGCCTCCACGGATGTCTCCTAAGGCTCAACGGCACCCACGAGGTCACAGAGTCTCTACTGGTAGGGGTACAATTTCAAGTGGCTTAGAATTTGTATCTCATAATGCACCTGGGGAAGCATCTACTGCTGCAGTGGCACGAGGCAGCCCTTCAGGTGGGACGTGGTCATCAGTTGTCAGTGGGGGTAGGTAAAGCTTGGCTTATTGCAGATGGCTTGCAGGGGGACCTTAGAGTGGGAATGCTCAGCAGAATCCTGCCTTTCCAGACAGTTCAGGCTCTGTGAATAACCAAATCCTGGGCTGACTTAGCTTAGATGGAGTGGGAGAAGGAATGTTGAGTTGGTGAGTTGGTCCTTGGAGTGCAGTGTTGTCCTAATTGCAGGGCCAGGTGGTGTGTGAAGAGAAAGGGAGGAGAAATGTGGGAATTAGTTGTTGGAAGGATTAATTCTGAGGAGAGTTTACTGGAGGAGGCAGGAGGAGTTGGATACACTGCATGGCATCACTGAGTTGGGTCAGTGGCTGTGGCTGGGCTGTGGTGTTTTGAAGGAGGTGTTTGGATAGAGGAAGGTTGGTGTTATAAAATGATGCTCAAGTTCAGTTGGATATATTTTTGGTTTAGAAATTACACGGATTTTAAGTGATGATGTTGTTCTTGTCTACTGTAGGAACAGGTACAGTTAGTGTGTCCTTTTTTTGAATCACTTAATGGGGTTTTTTTGAATATTTGACTTTTTTCAAGCTTGTGACACAGGCCTAGTCTGGAGCTTTTAGGTTGGGGCCATGTTCTAGTGGGCTGTGAGCAGCTGTGTGTTTCCTTGGGCAGGTGAGAGACAGTTTGGTCCTTTTCAGATCCTTTTTGGGTGTTTCTTAGCAGTGCAGAATTCTAGAGGAGTGTAGTGGGAATGCATTTATCAGAAGGAGGGTATGAATTAGACCCACATAGACCTGTTGCCTTGTGGTAAAAATCTAAACTCTTGTGTTCTGGCATTATTTCTGATTAATCTTTGCTCCCCACACCCCACTTTATATATTATTAACATGCAAGTGGGACTGTTAAACCACTTACCTCTCTTTCTCCTCACTCACTGGGGGTTAATATGTGACATAAAGCACTAACTTGCCACAGTGGGATGAGCAGGAAGCAGGAGGTTTAAACAACTTGTTCCAATTTCTTATTTAAAGAATACACAACTTTCCTTGCTGCTTTAACACAGGGGCAAAAATACACATCAACTATTCCTTTTTTTTTTCAATAGGCTCTGTTGTTTTTTTTTCCAGCTGGCAAACCTCCAAAAGAGGACGCCGGAAAATGGAGGGGTTTTTTCAGCCCTTTAAAAAAAAAAAAAAAAAAGTGTTTTACATCTGGTTGTGTGGAGACCTGCCCACCTTTTGTGTTCTGCCTGAAACTGTGTTAATGTGAGCTCTTGTAGTTGTATTTTTGGGGGGGGGTGGGGAGCATTTTGCAGCTTGATGGTGGGACTGAGAGGGCGGTGATGTGTGTTAGGGGCCAATCTGCAGAGAAATCACCCCACTTATCTGAAATGCTGCGTTGTAAAGAACTAGGAGATGTACCTGAAAGGTAACCAGGTTTTCAGTTACTCTAATAAGTACTTCAGGCATGTTTTTTAGCCGTTTTAGAAACTTTAGAGCAGCTGAGGAAGCTCCTCCTATAACTGTTTTTTCCTGTTTGTTTCTAGTTCCGAGATTATCCCCTAAAACACACAGGCCTAGGTCTCCAAGGCAGAGCAGCACTCCCATGGGACCAGCTCTGCCTTCCCCTCAGCCTGGAACTATTCCCACTGAATCTGTTGCCATGCCTGTTCCAGCTGCCTCTCCTACACCTGCCAGCCCTGCATCCAACAGAGCAGTCACCCCTTCCAACGAAGGTGGGTTGCAAAATGCATCCCTTTCCCTAATCCCTGGCGAGGAATTTGCCTTGAAAGAGCGAAACTCCTTTCTAAGCACTGGGAAAAAAAAAAAACTTGGGATGTGTTTAATTTTACTGCGAGTTCCCCTTTTCTGGTGGTGCCACCTTGAAACTCAGCTTGGAGAGAGGCTTTTTGATGAGTCTGTGCTTAATTTCTTTTGCCTTTTAAGGAGGTTGGGCTTACAGGTGACTGACTTAATTGAGAATTTCTTTTTTCAAACTGAGTTCTTGGCTCTTTTCTAATTTAAAGAAACGTGGGTTTCAGAGGGTATTTTGAACACAGCAAAAATAAGGGGAAAAAAGCAACATTCAAGGGCACAGTCAAATGTGTAAGAACTCTCAAATGTTTGTAGAATTCTGTCTGAAGAGTGTGGACTGTTGAAAATAATTTACTCTTGGTTTATAGTTTGTTCAACCTAGTCAAGGTTCAGTGGATGATGAGGGGGATGAGTTCAACTGGGATTTTATAATCTGGCTTAAAGACAGTAGGGTGGGGAGGGGGGAAGGATGATTCTCCAGGCACCAACTAGGTAGCAGAAAATGTGTAACTTATTAGGTTTTGGGGTTTTAACTAAAATTAAGCTTAATCTCTCTCCTGTTTCTATCTTACCATCTCTCTTTGGTCACTTTGAATTGTGTAAAAGAGAATAACTCTGGCCATTTCTTTTGCAGCTAAAGATACCAGGCTTCAGGACCAGAGGCAAAATTCTGCAACTGGCAACAAGGAGAATATAAAGCCAAGTGAGACTTCTCCTAGTTTTCCTAAACCTGAAAACAAAGGTTTGTATCCCAAGCTTTTGGTTGTACTTGAGTGCTGTAGGAATTCTACACATTAAACCTGCTGTCCTGGCTGCTTTAGTTGGCATTTTTAGGAAGACTTGGAGACAATCTGGTGTTCTACAGCAAAAAATTTGGTCATGCAGTTGTCAAGTGGCAGGACTAACAGTTTGAAATGTTGGTTGTGACTCATTCCATCAACACAAAGTGTAGAGATGCTCATGTGGACGGTGTGATTTCACTTGGTTTTTTGGGGGTTTTTTGGGGTTTTTTTGTTTGTTTGTTTGTTTTTTCTTTTTCCTTCTCTCTTTTGCCGGCTCACAGGGCTGGTTTTTGGCTGCCTTTGGACTGAATGTGTGTTTCTGCTCAGAGCTGTGCTCACAAGAATTGTGAGCATCATGATCAGCACAGTTTTTCTGACTGTGCGTTTTCCTGTTAATGCCTTAAATTTGTTTGTATTTTTAATGCAACACTGCTTGTTCACCATTCTCAGAAAAATCTTCTCACATTCTTGAACTGAATCATGGATTGATTTGAGTTGGGAAGACCTTTAGGACGTAGTGCAGCCACAGAGCTCACCTTGAGCAGTGTTTCTCCTTGATTGCTGTGTTTTGAAACACTGGCACTGTGTGTTTGGGGGGGTTTTGTTGCATTTTGCTTTGTATTCAGTGAGTTCTGCAGTCCCTGCACCTCAGGGCTTCTGCCTTGGTGTGGTGCATTAGAACTGAAGATAAGTCAGTTATGTAATGCTGTGGTTCCACAGAGTGTTTCTGTCTGCTCCTGGAATTGTACCAAATTCCAAATGCACTTATATCATTATTTCATTTCTAGATATGCAAACATTACCTTTCTGCAGAATTAGTAATGTGTAGGGGGTTTTTATATATATATATTTCTTGTGTTAGAAATGCCTGGACAATGTTGGTCTTATGTTTGGCAGGTGTCTCTCCAATTGCTTCGGAGCATAGAAAACAGATTGATGATTTAAAGAAATTTAAGAATGACTTTAGGGTAAGTTTCTCTGTGTGGATTGTATCATAATTCTCATGTGCATCCAGATTATTTTCATGAATTGAATGCACTACATATGTTAACATTTCTCAAGACTTGTGCTTAATTTATGAAAATACCTGTAAGAATTCATGCCAGATATTGGAAAATCAATGCTGACTCTTGCTAGTACAATTGCCTAATACCCATAAATGTGAATATTGACTGTACACTGAAAATAGGACTCGAAACCTGTTTGATCATTAGGTACAAATAATTATCACACACTCCATATGGAGGAGCTGTTGCAAAATTAAATGAAGAGTTTTGCTGAGGAAAATTGAAGATGAATTCGTATTACTTGTTTCCTGGCCATAATGGTTTATTAAATCAGGTTAACTTTTCAAGTGTTACTGTTAAATCACAGCACAGATGAGTCCAGGGAGTTGTCTTAAGCTTTCCTGTCACTCCCTAATCAACTTACAGGTCAGCTGAATGGCTGAACAGCCTCTTGCTCGGTGCAGGCTTAAACATTGTCAATGCTCATGGATTTCTTTTCTAGTAGAAATGGAAATGTATGTTTTAAAAGGTCATTTCCAGATGATTGAGGCCTGTAGGACCGTATTTTACTCTGTGTATGTGACAGCATTAGATTATCTTCCCACAGTTCTGTTTATCAATTTACTGAATATATTCCTGGTTTTTTTTTTTTTTCAGTTACAGTCAAGTTCCTCTTCCGATGCAGTGGATCAGCTGCTCAACAAAACCCGAGAGGGGGAGAAATCAAGAGACGTAGTTAAAGAAAAGACAGAATCCACCCCTAAAGAATCTATCATAGAAGCTGGCAGTAACACCAACTCCAATGGTGGCAGCAGCAAACCCAACAGTCCCAGTATTTCTCCTTCCATAAGTAACAGCTCTGAGCAAAAGCGAGGGCCTGAGGTGACTTCCCAAGGTGTGCAGACATCGGGGCCTGGAAGTAAACAAGATAAGGAGGATAAAGAGGAGAAGAAGGATACTTCTGAGTGAGTAATTATGCCTTTTAGAGTAAGCACAGGGTTATTAGCACTTAGCCTTGTGTAGAAGAAGCTGGTGTGAATGTGTAATATGTTGTCTCAAAGCTTATTTAAATGTTTTCCTGGCTCACATGAGCTGTAGCATCAACAGCAGGAAAAATTTATGGATAAGTGTATACTAAGAGTCCTGTCAATAAGAGTGGGGTTTTTTGCATACCATGTGGTGTTTGAGTTCTCAGAAATGTGACTCACAGATGGAAATGAGGTATTTCTTACATTATTAATTGCAGATACGCTCGTCAGAGAATAATGCCAAACTTCATGTTTTGTTCTTTACATTTAGGCAAGTTAGAAAATCAACACTTAACCCTAATGCTAAAGAGTTCAACCCTCGATCTTTTGCTCAGGTAAGTTGTTTGATGCTGTTTAACTCTGCCTTTGAGTAGATCTTTAGAAGCAGAGCTTTTCCTTTGGAGGATACTCAGACTAATCTTGCCCTCTGTGCTTTGCTCCACCCTGTTTGTAGCCGAAACCTTCTACTACACCGACCTCCCCTCGTCCACAAGCTCAGCCCAGCCCCTCCATGGTGGGTCATCAGCAGCCAACCCCTGTGTACACTCAGCCTGTTTGTTTTGCACCAAATATGATGTACCCGGTTCCAGTGAGTCCAGGCGTGCAGGTAAAGTGCTGCAGACTCTTCACGCTTCACAGGGATTGCCAGGAAGTTGAGGAGACTTCAGAGGTTTGGGTTGGGAGGGACCTGAAATACCAACCAGTCCCAGCTGAGGAGCTCTGAGTTAAAACAGTGAAATGGTACAGCTTGTATTGCTCTTGTAAATATAAATGACGTTGTGGTTAAGTTTTAGCTGTGTCAATACTGACTTTTCTCAGTGCTTCCTCAGTGTGGATGTTCAGATAGTCTCAAACTCTTCTAAATTCCAGCAGCTCACATTTGGTGTTAATTTCTAAATACAATCTCACTCTCTTTAGGGTTTAAGCAACTGCTTCTTTGTCCTCAGCTTCCAGCTGAGTCCCCACTAGTTTATGGTTGTTGTGGGGATCACTGGGATTTCAATCTAACTCTGTTATCACAGAATGTCCTGAGATGGAAGGGACCCACAGGAATCATTCAGTCCAAGTCCTGGCCCTGCCCAGGACACCCCAACAATCCCACCCTGTCCCTGAGAGCGTCATCCAAACACTCCTTGGGGCCGTGACCATTCCCTGGGGAGCCTGTTCAGAGCCCAACCACCCTCTAGGGGAAGAACCTTTTCCTGAGATCCAACCTGAGCCTGCCCTGACACAGCTTTATAAAAAAAAGCTGTTACAAATGTTTGACTTAGTCCCCTGCTTGCAGTAGTGGTGTTACTTGTCTGGTTGTTGCAAACCATATGGTCTGAGTTGTTTGTCCGTGCAGACTTATTGACAGGGGTCCAGGAAAATCTCGCAGGTTAGGCAGAGTTCACTAAACCATGGAACAAAACAGAGTAAAACACATCAAAGCTGAGTGGGGCCCCCACCCCTGACAGACACATTTGCTTTGTAAAGGAATATCATAATTTCAATTTCTTGTGTTTCAGCCTTTGTATCCTATTCCCATGACGCCCATGCCAGTGAACCAAGCCAAGACATATAGAGCAGGTAAAGGTGAGAATAATACTGCCTGTTTGGTTCTCAGTCTGCATGCAGCATGGAGAAATTAGAGCTGTTTGTGTGCTTTCTAATCCATGTTCATTTGTTTGTGGTTGATATTTTAAATGCTCTTTTTAGTGAAGGGAAGTAAGTGGAAATACTAATGGATTTTTAGATAAACTAATTCAGCTGAAACAGGCTAAGTTTGAGTTATGGGGAGTTGCTTAGTTTGGAATCTGATTTGACAAGCAGGAAAACATCTCTGTTACTTGGAGCATTAGGGTAAGCTGATCATCTCCTATATTTCATAAATATTATAGGTTTGTTTAAAGGGATCCAGCACTGAATGGTGCTTCAGTAGAGGGGTTTTGTCAACAAGCAAAGTCACTCTTTCTTCAGAAAGAGTGTGCTCTGCTGCTCTTCTGGAAAAAACTCACTGCTGGTTCCAGTTTTTTCCTCTGCATTCCTTCTGCCCCAGTAATGAACAGCTGGACCAACAATAGCATGTTTTTAACAAGTGACACCCATAGCTGTGGAGACAGAACATGTGGGAGATGCTCCCTGTGCAGTGCAGAGAAGGAACAGAAGAGTGTTTTTCTAGTCCTGTTTCAGGGAAGGCTCTAACTCTGCACAGTCCATTCCTTCTTGCAGTGTTAGCCAGTGCTTCCTGAGGATGGGATCCAGTGCTGCAGCTCCAGTCACTGGAGGGGGGGATTGTTTCCAAGAGCAGTCCTGCTGTGTCAGAAGCGAACAAGTGGCCTTTATGAACGTGGGGAAGACAAACCCCTGCAATGTATTTCTGTGTTAAAACACAGTAACTTCACTGTGAAATCTTGTCATTGGTAGCACTGTTTTAATCAGAAATACACTGCTGAGTGCTCATTTGCTGGGTGAGGCAGCTCCAGTCCTGAATTCCTTTTTAAAGCTCCAATATTTTCTGCATGTCCATCTGTGTGCAGCATAGCCCTGAGGGAGCTGCCTGGGTTACAGCTCAGTGCCTTTGTGCTGTTCAAGTTGCCTCCTGTATTTACTTCTTTCTATTGTTGATTTGCAGAGTAAATACAACCATCAGTGAGTGAATTTACTGACATCTCCTTTCCTCTCCCTAAGGGGTCTGGCTACATTGCCCACTGCAGTGGAGTTTCCAGGTGCTTGGGGTAGTTTAGTTAGTAGTTACAGCCTGACTGCAGGAGGCTGGAGCTCACCTGGAGCTCTCAAACCCAGTGCTTTGTAGGCTAAATTAGTTTTTTCCAAGCTCCTCACTTCTGTGGGTTGGGTGGTCACTTACCAGGATGGTTCAGGCAGTCCCACACTACACTGCTATGCTTTTTTCATCTTTTCTTCCCTCTTAATTATTCCTGCTCCTCTACTTATAGGTTGTCTTGTCCCCTTCAGTGTTGTCTGTGAGCTAAAAGTTGCTTTCTGCTATCCTGAGGGGTAGCACAGAGCTCAAAAGATGCAAATACCTCAAACTGTGCCTACGTGGAGACCTTTATTCTGCTCTCCTCAACCATAAACATGAGTGACTTTAACAGACTCACATTTCCAGCTGATGAAACAGTGACTGAGTAGTTCCCATAGAAGGTGAATTAAGGCTTTTGAAGGGGACAGGATCAAATTTATTAATGTAGGTATCCTGATATAACCTTTCTCTTCCATTACTGATTCTTGTGAGTCTTTCTGTCCATCCACCTTTCTTTCTTCCTTCCTTCCTTCACAATAAAAGCAGGGCTGGGTTTGTGTCCCAACATATGCCCCAAAGGCAGTGATGAAAAACTCTTTTTTCACGCTGTTCCTTTCTGCTAGAGCCCTAATAGATGGTTAAAGGTGAGGGGTGAGGATCTTCCACGTGGTCACAGTGACGTTATAGTGTAAAACCTTTCAGGAAGGTGGAGCTTTCTTCATCCCATATTTCTAATGTGAGAAACTCTTTGCCTTTTAGTACCAAATATGCCCCAGCAGCGGCAAGACCAACACCACCAGAGCACCATGATGCATCCTGCCTCAGCAGCAGGCCCTCCAATTGTAGCTACTCCACCTGCTTACTCAACACAATATGTTGCATATAGTCCCCAGCAGTTTCCTAATCAGCCTCTTGTGCAGCATGTGCCACACTACCAATCTCAGGTAAGAGTCTTTTCCTGCGCCTGATCCATAAAACCAGAAATAAGGAAGTGGCTCAGACCTAAATAGCCCTTTGTGTCCTGTCATGAGTCACTCGGAACAGTTTCTGGGTTCTGGAGCACCCTTGGGGGTCTTGGAGAGTGCCTCAAAACCTGGAACAAGTTTTAAGGTCAGAACAACTTCTAAGGTCATAACAGATTCTCAGGACAACTCAGAAGTTGGCATTTATTATTGATACAACTTTGTAGCTCTTTGAAGATTTTCTTTAGGTCATGACCAGCACATCTCCTGGTTAAGTGCTCTAAAAATAACCTGCTTGGTGGACTCCTCTTACTTGAAAAGCTTTTAAATACACACGTGTACCTGGATAAATATACTGTGTCATACCTAACTTTGCTACATTATTAGAGTGGCAAAAATTCAATATGCCAATTTTTATCAGTTTTTAGGCCTTAAATTTGGATAATCCCAACAACTGCTCTGCACTCAAGTAAGGCCGAGTTTTGGAACATCGCAGGTGTTTAGATGACACGAGTTCCTTTGTGATGATTCCCCAGTTAATGTCTACTTTTTTTTTCTTTCTTTTTTCTTTTTTCTCCTTTTGCCTGCAGCATCCTCATGTTTATAGCCCTGTAATACAGGGCAATGCCAGGATGATGGCCCCACCAGCACACGCACAGCCGGGTTTAGTATCTTCCTCTGCAACACAGTACGGTGCGCATGAACAGACACATGCTATGTATGGTAGGAAACGTTTTGTGTTATATGTAACTTTCTAAGTCCTTAAATTGTGCAGGGATGTCTTTAATCTCAGCCTTCAAAACATGGGTATCGTTCAGTAGATGTGGTTTATGTTTCATAAGCTGATGAGCAAGGCCTTGAAAGCTGAGCCAGGCTGGTTCAGATGAGAACTCAAGTGTGCTGATTTCGGTAGGAGGCCAGTGACCAAGATGAGATTTCAACCTGGGAGCTGCTAAAGAATATCTGCTGAAAAGAAGTTTGTCCAAGTTCTCTTGATGCTCTTGATCCATCACCCCTCGTTTGTTTCTTGATGATAATTAGTACTTGTTTTATTGCAAGGCTACGACCTCAGTTTCAAACTTGACTTTAGTTCTGGCAACTAGTGAAATGCTGTCTTTTATGATACTTACTGGCATTATTAACAGTATGAACTTCTGCTGTTTAAGCAAAATAAACCATGTGTTGCTTACCTTTCTTTTTTGGTAAGTCAAGACTAAGTCTATGGAACAGCTCATGTATTGCTCTGACTTTGACAATTAGTCTCCAGCATTATCAGATGGGCATATTTCACTGACAGTGAAGTGCTGAAAATGTGGGTTACCTTGTGACAAAGTAAAATGCGCAAGAACTTCTAAAGCATTATAAATGTATGATAAATCAAGGCCCAATTTGGAGGAAAAAAAAAAGAAAAAAACACCTCCCTGCAAAACATGCTATTGAAAGAGGTAGAGTCAAGGTTGCTAAAGGCTTGGGAATTGTCATAAAATGTCAAAACAGCAGATGGTCTCTTGAAAACATGGCATTTCAATACTTGTTATAGCATCTGAGGAAAAGTTTTATTGGGTCACATATATACTGACTTAGATTCTAATAAAAGATTTTCTGTACCTTTAGACATCTCTGTATGTGTTCGGTGCTTAGTTTTACCCTGATCCTTAATGCAAGTCCATGATGTGTCATGAAAACTTACAAAGTAAGAATCTGGAGTTTAGTGTGAAATGAATTCTGACTTTTCAAAAAGTGTCTTGCCCAGCTGAGAACATCCTGTCAGATCTCTGCAGTGGGATGGTAACAAGAGTTAAGAAACAAAAATAACAGAGAGAAACCTTTTTTTTTTTTTTTGACGCTTGGAGGAAGAATTTGAGCTCATTTGAGCTGAAGCTGAAATGGAAGTTGCTTGTAGAGATTAATCTTTCTCTCACAGGTCCTTGCTAATTGTATTACTTTGATCTTTTCAACTCTTGTGCTTGAGGTGTCCATGTAAACAGATCTTCTGTTGGCTTTTTCATTAGATTAAATAGAATTCCGATAAAGTGAATGATCAAAGGCTTTCAGACCTTTATTGGTGAAAACTCTCCTCTCAAATTCTAATTAAAATAAAACCAAACATGAGATAATCTGAGGTTTGATTCAGAATGGTTGCATGTGACTCCCTAGCAATTGTGCACCATCCTTATCTTCTGTAATCAGTGGGTTCTACAGCACTGAAGTACAAGCCCCTTCCCTTGGCTGGCTTTGATCAGATGTCTGTATAGTTTTTTCACTGATACTCTAATTTACAACTGTTAGATCTCATTTTGTGTTGGTTTTGCAGCTTGTCTGTTGTAGGTATGTGACTACCTACCCGTGCAAACAACTAAGTTGGGTCAAACTTGAGAATTCTTTGGTATTTCCTTCCATGTAATTAAATATTCCTTTCCCCAGAGCACATAATTTAACAGAAGTGGCTTGTCCTCCTGTGCTCTTTCAAGTAGCTACTTGGTGACTCTTCTAAACATTCTCCCACCTTCCAGTAAATGACGGAGTGCTTGATATTTTTGTTACTGAAACCCTTCGACCCAGCTGGATCAGGAGCTCCATAGGATACACTTTTTGGTGTGTTTGGTGACCGTGAGTTGAGTCAAATGCACCCTTTGACCCCCCGAGGTGACAGTTACACACGGGATGGCTCCTGATGTTCTGCAGCACCGTTTCAGTTCAGATCTTTGCAAGCCTTCCGTGTGCTGAGTGCTTGAAGACCTTGCCCAGATGGACTGTGCTTCCCCAGAGTGTGTCCAGCTGTGACATGTTCACCCCACCTTCCCTTCAGTGATATGTGAACGCTTGGGAAAATGCAGGAATGCCTGAGGTGATAAATCTGAGCTGCTCCTGGAGTCCGTTGCTAAAGAACAACTGGAACCGTTCACATCTGGCTGAGTGACTGTGAGAACATATCCATACCTTATGCTCTGTGTTTTGGGCATCTTAAGTTTACCCACGTTTGAACTAATTACACCCCTGCACTTTTGGTTCTGGTCCTCTTAAAAAGTAATTTGAAAGCACAGAATAACAACTTCCTGAGAAACAACCACTACTGCTGCTTTTGATTTCTGGAGCGCTTGCTCAAACAGTTTCCCTTTTGGCTCTTTAAAATTGCTATTTGATTTTTTTTTTAAAAAATACATTACTACCTATTTTAAACACCCCCCACTGATGCCAGGATTCAGTGGGTCATGCTGCCTTTTTAGCCTTCATGGTACTTGGTGCTTGTTTGAGTTAATTCTTGCAAAATGCACTCAGTTTTTTTCCTGCATAAGTGGTAAAGAGAAGATGTTTGCAAGGACAGCCACTCTTGAGATGTGGGGGTTGGGGGGCACTGCTTATCAACTGTTCTTAAAGGTGTGAAATGTTTTGTGGTAAGATCTGAAACTCCACCTTCACTAATGGTTTGGGACAAGTTGAAAGTCTGTGGCAAATAGAGTAACAACCTGCCAGCGAAGAGAAATCCCTGTCGATGCTTTAACCTTGAAAAGTTTGGGGGTTATTTTCCTTCCCTGTCTTGTGGAGAGATGGCTGAATCCGAAATCAGTGACCTGCACTCGTTGATAAGCACTCTTCCATTTTAAAGAAAAGTATTTTTGTCTGATGCTGTTTAATTGGATGTTCTTGCACTTCTGGGATTTCCTTGCCAATCGTTCCAGTGTCACAACCCACTGTTGACAAGAGAGAAGCAGAGCATGGTCCCAGTAAATCCAGCTAAACACAGGATGGAGGAGTGTTCAAATCATTGGGGTTTCCCCCTCAAAACACAGTGGGGAAGGACAGTGTCCAAGCAGCCTCTTCCCAGCCAGTCTGGGACACAGTTCAGCTCCGGAGCCGTCCTTGTCCAGGGAAGTTTGCAGTGCTGGAGCAGAGCAGTGCACACACCTTCACCTGCCACACTCACCCCCCTGAACGTGGAGGTGGTGTTCTTACCCTGCTCAGCTGTTGGTTCCAGAATGTTCTGTGTGTCTGTCTCACAGCTGTTGGCTCTGTGTGGCCTCCCAGTGCCCCTGGTGTGGGGCCGGTGGAGTTGTTGGCCGTGGTTTGTGGTTTGGCTCCTTGGTGTGTCACACAAAGACCAAACCAGTCTCCTGCTGCTGGTAGAAAATGTGGTTCTCCAAGGAAAGGGTAGATCCGTCCATACTTGTGTTAGTTTTCCATGTAGCTGAATTGTTTCCAGATAACTGCTGGAGTCCTCTGAAAAACTTGACTTTTGTGTTTAAGAACTCGTGTAAAGCCAGGCCTTGGTTTTACACAGATGCATTTCCTGTTTTCTGTGCTCTCATTCCTGTCCCCATTCTCCCTTCCCCTTTCCCCTTCTGCATATGTTTTACTGGTCTGGTGTTGTCTCTAACTTTATCTGGTTTCTGTCTCAGCAGTAGAGTAAATTCTATTACCCTGATAGTACAATGGTGGATAAAATATAAACTTCAGAGGATTCTCCAGGGACTAAGAGTGAACCAGTCACCAAAGGTGTCTTGGAACTGTTCAAAATGACAGTCCTATAGGTGAAAAAGCAAGTGGCCAGTTTCTGCTTTAGTGTAATTACGTTTTAACCTTCTTATTACAGTGGACTGTAAGAGACCATGAATTGCCATAAAGTTTATTTTTGTGTTAATTAAGAACTGCAGACCTCAGTGTCACAGTTAAGAAGGAAGGCTTACTTGAGACTTGTGTTTCATCTCCACTCATTTGTAAAATTAAATATCTAGCTCTGATAGCACCTAAGTAAATAAATTATCTGCATGGTTCTACAGTCTTTAAAAAAAAAAAAAATTAAAAATACCTAAAACTGACACTGACCTTTCCAGAGGACGGGAAGTATGCACGTGGCAAGAGGCTAATTTACCTTTCTATTTCCCAAATTCAGCATGTCCCAAAATACCATACAGCAAGGAGACAGGCCCTTCTTTCTACTTTGCCAGTGAGTTGGGTTTTTTGTACTAATTTTGATTGTACAGAAAAGCACTTTCTAAAGAACCAGATGTTAAAGGAATGGGACGTGTTGAGGGAACAAGTTTCCTTGCACCAAACCAGGATGTGGAAAACGCAGGAAGGTTCTTTCAGTGGACAGAGGGTGAAGCTGGTGGACAGATTTGTCTGATCACAGGGAACTGAGCTGTCAATTTTTTAAAAAATTTATTTGGAATATATAATGATCTCTGAATTTACTACCCAGTCTTTTCATCTGCAACCAGAAGTGAGCTCTGTTTGGGGAGGCAGAAGGAATTCTTGGCTGTGAGGGTGGGGAGGCCCTGGCACAGGTTACCCAGAGAAGCTGTGGCTGCCCCAGCCCTGGAAGTGTCCAAGGCCAGGTTGGACGGGGCTTGGAGCAACCTGGGCTAGTGGAAGGTGGCCCTGCCTGTGGCGGGGTTGGGACTGGATGGCCCTTAAGGTCCCTTCCAACCCAAACCACTCTATGATTTTATAGCCTCTGATTTTTAAACATCAGCTTCCTAAAAGGAGAAGTATCTTTTTCCTCACCTCTTTAAAAAGCTGTGGCTCAGGTTCTGAGCCCCTGGGAGGAAATAACTCTTGTTGCAGCTGAGCTAAAGAAAATTTTCTGTGGAGCTGCCTCTGCAGGAGTGCTGGGAACAGCTTTGTCATGACTGTGTGACAGTGACAAGATGAGTTCTCCTTGCTGAGGCACCTCCTCCCGAGCAGAGGAACATGAGCAGTGATGTTTCCTGGCTCAGGTCAGGCTTTGCCCACCTAAATCACTGTCAGCAATGGGAGAGGGGCTGATGCTCTCCCAGCAGACTGATCCAGCTAATCCAGACTCAGTGTGTGTCCAGGGACAGGCTGAGAACTGTAAAACACTGCCTTGTGTGTTGGTGTCCATCATCAGCTTTGAGGGGGCTGGATTTGGGGGAAATGTTTGCAGGATGAACTGTCACCCAAGACATGGTAAAGGAGGACCTGCAGTCCCAGAGTGTTTTGTCCTGCTCCTGTCCTGCTGTGAGACTTGTTGCTGTGTCTGTCTGCAAGTCCATCAGCCCATGCCAGCATCTCTGTTGTTTTTTTTTTTTTTTTTTTTGCAGTAGCAGCTCATACAAGAGGGATGTGAGAAAATCCCCTTGTTCCCCCAAAATCTCTTCTGGAACAGACTTCCTGTGTGTGTTGTGCCAAAATGTGCTGCCTGAGCAGGGGCTGGAGGTGCTGACCTGTCCTGTGTTCTTGGCTCTTGGTTTGGTGCACTGAAATCACTTGAATCAGCTCGTTCCTTTCGTGGCTAATCTTTGGAGTCCACTCTACCTGTGTAAAATGACTTCTTTGAAATGTTTGTATTCTGAAAGAAACATTTGCTATTTCTTTGCTTCCTACCATTCAGGTCTTTTAAATGTAGTTATCCTCACCATCTTACTGGCTCTGGCAATAGTTTGGAGGTTTTTTCACTGGTCAGTTCTTGAAAATAGGCTCTTCAGTGCATCTTTGGACCATGACCAGCGTTCACCACCATTGGCACCACTGAAATTCCTGCCAGGAAAAAAAGAAAATTACATGATGTGGTTTTCATATACCCTTGTAGCTGGGAGTTCTGCCTGATTCCTGCTGCTCTGACCTCTTTTGATTTCAGCTCCTCCTGTGGCTTCTGTGGCTGACTCTACTTCTTGTTTGCCTCTCAGAGAAATGGGTGCACTTGACAAAACTCAATTCACTGATTAATCCATGTGGTGTTTTTTTCCCATTCCATGACTCTCCCTGCAAGGTTAGTGCAGGGAAATACTTCATTTTAGGAACCAACTTGATTAAAAAGGTGCAGAAGCGAAGCAGGTCAGCCCAAGGAGAGGCATTTAGGCATAAAGGGTGAGAAAACCAGTGTGTTTGTGCTGGAGTGAGCTGAGGTGACTTTGCAAGGAGCTGGTTTGACCCTTCCAAGAGCTTTCTCAGCACTTTCTTGGATACTGGATAGCCATTTGGAAAATCTCCAAAATACTGACAATTGGGGGGAAAACATTGGATAATTGGTTATTAATTTTTTATTATTCTTTTTTCTCCTCCTGTCTTGTCTTATTTGCTGTTAGATATGTGCAGGGAGCTGTTTGGATGACCAGGCAGAAATTCTTTTTAAAAAAAGCCCCAGTGCCAGTTCAGTTCTTGACTGAGCAGGTGAATTTGTCATGACTTTTACAGGACTCCTTTCCCAGCCCTGCTGGTCTCAGAGATTTGATGGGCTTGCCAAGAACTGTTACTTGCTAAACATGGAAAAACCCCTTTACACTGCTGGACTTGCAGTTTGAACTCTGGTTTTGAACTACCAGAGATCTGGGAATGCATTTCAGACCTGGTGCCACTCGGCCTGTTCTTGGTTTGTTTGCAGTCTTTGCACAGGATTTAAAGAAGGGCCCAAATAACAGTTTTGAAAGGCACTTTTAATATCACTATTAAAACATAATTTGCAGCAGCATCTGAAGTGGTTTTAAGCTTGACAAGTTTGGTTATTAGAGTCATCTGTTACAGACAAAATGGGGGTAGGAGAGAAATTAGGGAAATAAATATTCTTCAGTATAAAAAATGTGGTGCTTCAAATGCAAAGCTGGGGATGAAATATTGGGTGGTTATGGAAGAGCTGCCACTGTGACAAAAACTTGATCCTCCTCCTGCTTTACATCTATTCTTCAGGGTGCTGTTCCTTGGTTTAACTGGTTTCTTGAGAGAGAAATTCCTCCTTGTGCACTTTTATTGCAGAATGTATCCAGTTCAGAATAACTGGGTTTATTATTCTCCTGGCTATAAAGGGCTGAAAGATGAATTGCACAAATGGTTTAAGGGAGCCCCACATTCTTTCAGGGGCTCTTAACAAGGGATGTGGGAAGCCTTGAATATCTTACAACTTGGAATTAAATTTCATCTCCATTTTAAAGCCTCCTGAATGGAGTTGGAGTTAATTTGCAGTCAGCTCTGTGGCTCAGGCAGTGGGAGGATTGCTGGTGTAACGCGCCCTTTGGCAAGCAAGTAATCTCTCTTTGCATTTATTTCTCTCACTTTGGCAGAGATAATAACTTTTGGCCTTCTTCAGAGTGCGTATAATAACGAGGTTGAGGTATTTTCCTCCTGCAGGAAGCCATAAACTTCATATTGTAAAAATGATCAGTGTTGCCATTGATAATTTTCATGTTATTGTAAGGAGAGATGTCTGAGAGTCAAGTAGGAGCGCGGTGGGGATGCTGCTGCAAAATACATTTTAGTAGTGATAGGAAAAACTAAAAATACTGGGATTTAAAGCATAACAAAGTGCTGTGGCAGAAGATCCTGCAGTTTTGACAAGTGTGCTTAGAAAATACTGAGGTGTTTTTGAAACCCCCTCTCAATCAGAAACGCTCAGGGTGTACGGCTGTGCCTGTACACTTGGATAAGTATTTTAGGATCAGTTCCAGACTGCAGGAATTGAGTTCATCTGCATTAATAGCCTGAAACTGCACATCACTGTTGGGCCATTTGCTCAGTGAAGATTTAATAGAGCTTTCAAGGGATTAAGTTAAATGTGGCAGGCAGTTATTTTCTAAAGGAGGAACCTTCCTAATGCACCGTACCGGGGAGAAAAAAAAAATCTCAATTAAGCAAAAAGATACTGTCTCTATATATATTCTGGTGAATTTGAATTTGTTAGAACTAGGATTTGTAAGAATTATGGACAGGCAGACTGGAGGAAAGCAGGTATTTGCACAGGGTGGAGTGTCAGGGCTGTGACAGAGCAGTTGGAGACTTGCTTGTGCTGGACATTGTTGTGCTTTCAGATGCAGCTACATTTTAGTCCATTTTTTCCACCCATCTTGTCTCTCATCCTTTATCTACTCCCAGACAGTTCTGGTTGTTATGAACTTAGAGCCCAGCCCAGTGAAGCTCTGCAGAAATTCCCTGCAGGTGCCCTGATTTTTCAGGTTTGTTCATTAGGGCAAGAAAACCCCCCTGGAAAAGCCATCCCTGCTAAAGGTGCTTCAGTGGCCATCAAGTTCTCATATAATACAAACCCCATGAAAAAAAGCTGTAACCCATAGACAGTCATCATTAATGAACTTCAGAACAGCCAAAAGGTACTAAAGGAAATAAGAAGCATCTGCTGGGAAACTTCAGGAGCAGGTTAATAGTTGTCTTTGACTGTTTTCTAAGTATTATCAGCAAAACTAGCCTTGGTCTTTTCAAGCTGTGACCATTGTCACACGCTGCAGTGGAGCTGCAAACATGGACTGGTTGTTGCACAAAATCAAAAAGAAACAGAGGAAAGATCTTTATTTTTTTTTTTTTAGGATCTTGCTCTCCTGCTGCATCCTTTGTGTTTAAAGGAACGCTTGCTCTCATCATAGCTTTTCATACATCCTTGGATTCCCTCAGAAGTTCCAAAAAAAAAAATCCAATTTAGTGTGGCCTGTTTTGGAGCAGAACAAAGCAGGATCCAAGGAGGAACTAACTTGTTGCTGTTGGTTTGTTGTTGGAGACTGGCACGACCGTGGCAACACGGGTGGCTTCACTGGGGTGAAAGTTTCGTGTTGTTCACTTTCTTCCTTTTTGGGAATTTTGTACCTTATTCGCTACCGTTTCAAGGAATGAAGAATTCCGTGGCAGTGTTAGAAGCTCCCAGGATGGTGCTGATCCAGAACAGCCTGATTGGCCTTGAGGGCAGAGGCCAGATGTGTTATTTTAGCACAAGAAACTGGCTTCAGCTACGATTTGATGCTCGAGCAGCCTCAGTTTTCTCAGCTGTGACGTGTTCCCTGGGTGTCCCTGGAGCTCTCGAGCACAGGGTTTGTACTTTATGAGCAATTTCCAGAAGAGTAGCATGGTGAGGTTAGCCAGGTATAAGGCCAAAGACTTTTTTTTGGATGGTGGAAATAAAAATGACTCGTAACACCTTTGAAAAGTATGTTTCAGGAAATCCTAAATTGTATGAAAATTATAAATTTGGTCTTTGAAACTGGTCTGTTTGACAAAGCAAAAGATGAAATGCTGCTTTTCTCTATGTAGTATGTGTTGCATTGTCAAACTAGGGAAGATGAACTGTCTAATTATGGTTATTTATAGACTTTCCTGCCAAACCAAACTACACAAAAGCAAGGTAAGATCCTCAGCTATTCGCAAGATAAATATTTCGCTTTAGAAAGGGGGTGGGGAGCGTATTTACAGTCTTTTGGAGCTGTAGTGAAATCCTCAAGTGCAGGTGGTGACTTGACGAGGTGCCTGTCCTCTGCCCGGTGTTAAATATCCTTCTTTTTCATCCTAGTTTCCACTGGCTCACTTGCTCAGCAGTATGCCCACCCTAATGCTACCCTGCATCCGCATCCTCCTCATCCTCAGCCTTCTGCCACACCGACTGGCCAGCAGCAAAGCCAACATGCTGGAAGCCACCCTGCTCCCAGCCCCGTGCAGGTAACGGGCTCAAACGG